AAAAAAAAAAAAAAAAAAAAAAATGTCTTGTTGTATAGGTGAGTTATATTTTGGAAGCTCAATGCTGAATATTATACCTTTTACAGTATTTTGGTACCTTGGTGCACCTTTTCTTCTTCTTTCAAAGTTACCTTAATTTATAAAAAGGATGTTATGTAGCATGACACGATTTTGCTGAATCTTTTCTTGCTTTATATGTAGCATGACACGATTTTGCTGAATCTTTTCTTGCTTTATCTTACATTTTTCCTCTTACTGGGTTATCTAGGTGAGCAAGGAATGGTTGATGAAGCTCAGAAAGCATTGGAAGAGGCGGAAGCTCTTAAGAAGGTTGTCGAACAGTTCTTTCTGTACTCAATTGTGCTCAAATATAACTTTTTAGAATTTAATTTGCCCTTCTTATCTTTCTTTGTTAATTTTATTTTGGGGCTTAAAAAACTTACCCTTGTAGTTCGACTACATTTAACACTTCTCTCCTTGATATGCCTGTCTTCCTCATTCAGCTGCCTGTGAGGCAAGACCCTGGTCAGGATTCCTCAAAGTACACTGCAGTTGATGTGCGGATTGTAAGTCTACTTTCTACAACTTTGATGAGCATTATTTGTTGTATTTGTTTCTCCTCAATTATGAGTTTGTGTAAGTACTTTCACTGAATTTAATCTGAACGAAAAGCAATTTTATTTTGAAAATCTAGCCAGACGATTCCTTGAAAGAGGGGCCAAAATATTATTCTCTCCGTTATATTTTATGTGTCTTAGTTTTGACTAGGCACAAAGTTTTGAAGACTTTGAATCTTGCGGTCTTAAACTAAAGGTGTGTATACAACATCAACAACAACAATAAAAAACCCACTGTATTCCCACAAGTGAAAACTAAAGGTGTGTATAACATACCAAAATTATCAATTGGATCTTGTGGTTTTAAACATGTCATGTCATTCTTATCAGGATGTGTCATTAAGGATAAAATGAGAATGATGGAATTAAAAAAATAAAAATATAAAAAGAAGTATTTTCTTTGGGAACATACTAAAAAGGAAAGTACGACACATAAATTGAAAAAAAGAGTTATTTTCTGAAAGCATGGTGAGGCAGTGGGTGGGTTTGCTTGCTCTATATGGTGCCTAATGCTTGACATCCTCCTCTTTATAGCGACCAACACCCTTCTCTAAATTTTTATTTCCTGTCATTCTTTTGCCAATTTCAAGCTACATTGATGATGTGCTGGACATATGCTACAATTTTCTTCTTTTCGTTGCTAGTGCAAAAAGTATCTGTTACCAGTGACTTCTGGAGGAAAGAATCTTAACACTTTTTTGGTGATTATGTAATATAGTGAGATTTTGATGGCAACTTTTTATATTTCCAAATTAGAAAATTCAAGTTGGTTTTCTCACTCTTAGTTTGAGGGGTGTATTGAATATTAAGAGAACATGTGTCTAGTTTCACACATGTATAGCTAAGAAATAATTAGTAAATATTTGTTATAAGAAAATATTACAAAATATTTAGCATCCAAAGGTGTGACCTGGTGGTCAAGAAGCTGGAATGGACCATGGGCCAGGTTCAAGGCAAAAAAAGCATGTGTTTTGTTCTCGTCTGTTTAAGCTTTGGTGGATAGAGTTAGTTTATACATGTGTTGTTGGGTGGTAATAGGTTCTCATGATTTAGTAGAGATGCCCAAACACCACAATTACAACCAAAAAAAGATCTTACAGATTATTAAGAGTGCCTATCAGTGTGATTGACCAAATAAGGATAGGAAGTTCCACTCAGTATGTTTTTTTGGTCAAACACAATTGTTACCATTATGAAAAAAGCTTGGTCAAACACGAATTTAGTGCTCAAAAGTGCTTTTCAAATTGATTAGCCTCATATACTGCTTGCAGTATTTTTACGCAAAGCACTTTTAGAAAAAACGCTTTTCAAAATAAGCAAATTTTAGAAGCTTCTTTTTAGATTTCTAATCAATCAAGTCAATAAGAACTAAGAAGTTCTCCTCCTTTTCATACTTTCCGAAGCTAATGGAAGTGTCTCTAACATTTTCTTGAAATGAACTGACGGTTAAGAATTTCTTGAGTACCTAAGTCAAAGAAAGAACTGAAATGTTTTTTTAATTGGGTATTGTGTTACTAGAATCACTGCCTCAAGTGGGCACATATATGCATATACATAGAGGTTCTCTTCTCCTTTTCATAGTTTCCGATGCTAATGGAAGGCTTAACATTTTCTTGAAATGAACTGACTATTAAGAATTCCTTGAGTACCTAAGTCAAAGAAAGAACTGAAATGTTTTTTAAATTGGGTACTGTATTACTAGAATAACTGCCTCAAGTGGGCACATATAACAATGACTGTTCTTTGTTTCTATTCTTGCATATATTCCTGCTGAGAAATCTCAGGATGTGGTCTTGACATGAATTTGCTATCTCTGACATGCTGTTTATAACTTTTGCAGACTGATCAAAAGCTCCGTGTGTGCGACATCTGTGGAGCTTTTTTAAGTGTTTATGACAGGTGAATGTTCCTTTTTCCTTTTAAGCTTTTGGAAGATATGCTAAGTAGCTTTTAGGGAAATAAAGAGCTACTTTGAAGTTTTGAGTGCTTCAGTTTTTGACATGGCGATTGGACCTCCTTGTCACCAGCAGGCTTTTTTGGGCCCAGTTTTTCGAGGATAAACTTTTGCCGCTAAATAATGTGCGTCTTTTCTGTGTTAAATTTTATTAGTCATGTTATGCTTAGCTAGAAAGTTATGGGGCAACCTCATTTTTTGTTATCTCTACAATTTTTGTTTCTTAAAACTAATTGGATAGCGTACTAATAATATCCAGCTATCCTTGCTTTTCTCATCTTTTCTTTTCAGTGACCGTCGCTTAGCTGATCATTTTGGAGGAAAGCTTCATTTGGGTTATATGCAAATCCGTGAGAAATTAGCTGAACTTCAGGTAAAGATAAGAATATCTATTTTTCAAGATTTCTTTGTTGCAGCGCAGGCCCATTTATTGGAAGTATAACAGTTGTGCTTGTTTCCTCATTTATCTGGTTGCATAAAATGATCTCTGATTGAGTGGCTTCTGCGGAACAGTCATCAACTTAGAAATTTAAACAAGTATTTGATTTTAGTGGCTCAATTGGTAATTTAAATATTTTGATTGAGGTCCTGCTGTTTCAGTTTCTTCTGTAGAAATTTTCAATATGTATGTTCTTTTGGAGTTTTGCTATCCTCAGATATTTTCTTTTGTAGAGATTTTCTATTGTCTTTTACTGATCTTGTAGGTCCATAGGGAAAATAAGTTCTCATATCACCTCATAATGACGTGAAATGTGTGCTTAGAACTATAAATATTTTTTTATGGAACTTGTATTAGGGTATAATTTAAGACATGATAGAATAGTTGAATAAGTGACTTCAACTTGATTTTCTTTGAGAGCAGGAAAGAGTTAGTAGTTATGTAAAGGAGATACTCATACAACTACTACACCTCAATCCCAAATTAGTTGGGATCAGCAATATGAATCCTCACTAATCATGTTTTCTCCATTTTAATTCATCTTGGGTTAGCATTATACAAAATAAGTTCTTTTTTTCCCCAACTGGCATGAAAATCCCTAATAGACCTAAAAGACTCCTAGAAAGCATAAGACCTAAAGTAAGCATATTAACTTGACTACAACACATCAACTAGTTGGCATCACTTATATAGATCTTTTTATCCATTGTGTCATATCTTTTGCTAAGTCAGCATGGCTACCAAGAGATTGTAGATCTTTCGAGAAAAATTCATTTCCATATGATTTAGATCTACCTCGTCCTTTTCAAAAAAAAAAAAAGATCTACCTCGTCCTTTTTAAATATTTACACTCATCATAGTTTCACATTTGTGGACCGGTACATCTGGAGGTCGACACAGGACCTGACCAAACCATCTCAAAAGACTCATTTTAGTCTTTTTATCCTCAATGTGCATTGTGTGCTACTTGCTCCTTCTGGCAGATGCAGTTATTTTTAATCTTGTTTGATCTACTATGACCACACATCCATGTTAACGTCCGCGTCTTTGCTGCACTTAGGTTATGTTGAACTTTAGCCCAACATTCTCTCTTGCATAACATTGTGGGTCTTGCAAGTGTTCCATAGAACTTACCTTTCATTTTGGTAGGCATCCTTTTATCATAACATGATATCTGAATTTGGTAACACTTCTCCATTCAACCAACTGATTTTAGTACAATGTAACGTCTTCATCTACCATTACATTCTCATGGAAAAACAAGACATCTGAATTGTTTTCATTTAGGTTCAACAATCCCGTCTAATTTCACCTCAACTTCACTCTTCTTAAGCTGACTAGAGTTGCAGTGCATATACTCACTCTTACTTCTTATCCTAAAATCCTTACTCTTAAGTGCTTCTCCATGATTCAAGTTTTTTTTACACCCTTGCTGGTTTCGTCAGTTAATATCGTCAGCAAATAGCATACACCAAGGGACGACATCTTAAATTGTGTTGGTTAACTCATCCATAACTAGGGTAAACAAGTATTGACTCAATACCGATAGAGGTGTCAGGCCATAGTTACGAGAAACTCCTTTGTATTTCCTACTATTGTTCTTATGCTATAGCGACTGCTTAATACTTATCCTTTATGACGTTTATGTATTTAAAATATGATTTTATTTGTTGAAGTGTGACCATCTCATCTAAATGCTTAAGCTGTTAGAGAGAACACATTTTTATTTACTTAATTATGTCTTCAACACGCTCCCTCATGTGTGGGTCTTAAATTTTTTCATGGGCCAAGCACGTGAAAATTCGTTTTGATCATGGGTGGCAGTGAGACTCGAACTCAGGACTTCAACGTGCTTCGATACCATGTTAAAGTGTGTGGCCCTTTCATCTAAAAACTTAAGCTGTTAGAGAGATCACACTTTTATTCATTTGGATGTGTCTTCAACACTTTTCTTCCAGCTTTTAATTGCTGAAGCATAAGTACGGATGTGCATGTTCCCAACTGATTTATATAAGTATTTCTTATTATTGAACTGACTCTCCCTTAGGCGGGGCATCAAAATACATATATCTTTACTGATTGACCAATTACCTCGTCAATAAAAGAAGGGAAAAACATTGTTTATCATTCTTTACATTGCTAGTTTATTCCATGAATATGTGTTCATTCTAATTTTGTGGACGTAACTGTGGGAGTTTGTTATATGCTTCAATTGTGCTATCTCAATGATGTCAAATTGCCAGGAAGAAAGAAACAAGAAGCGGAAGGCCATAGAAGAAGATAGGAGGTAGTGTTGGATCTCCTATTATGAAATGCTTATTCAGCATTTTTTACTTTATCTGTTGTTGCTTTTACTATCTTGTGGTCAAGTGTTGAATTTAATATATGCAGATCTAAAGAAAGAAAAAGCAGGGATTGTGATAGAGAATCAAGCAGGGACAGAGTTGATAGCCGCGAAGCAGGGAGAGATCACGATCGCAGGAGTAAAGATCGCAACTATGATCGTGAGCGTGACAGAAATAGAGACCGCTCTCGCAACTATGATTCAAGAAGTCATAGGCGATCACGTTCACGGTCAAGAGAACGGTCAAGGGATTATGATCGCCACAGGTTCTAATTTTTTCCACTAAGCTGATTGCGTTATATATAGTTTTATTTTGTGTGGACTTAAAGGTGTGAGGTTGTCATGTACCGTATAATGAGTAGCTTCCAATTCTTTGCGGAGGGCTTCTGATTTTAGTGAAGGAGATTTGCTAGGGATGTTGGGTTATTTGCCCCATACAATTTTAGTGAAGGAGATTTGCTAGGGATGTTGGGTTATTTGCCCCATACCTCCCACTAATGTGGTAAAAATTTTTGGGGAAGGCACTGTCATAGATTTATCCCCCATTATATATCATGTTCCTTTACATTAGTGTTTTTAATCAGTTGCTAAAGGCTCGCACTAGACATGCTTAAGCCGTAACAGCTCAGGCTTAGTGCTGGTGCACATGGGATTCGTCTTATAAAGGGCAGCACTGAACAACAAATATAATTGATGTAGTGATATTTTGATTGTTAAACAAACATTCTGTATGAATATGTTAGTAATTAGGAGTAGGAAATAAAAAATTTACTGCAAGTAGATTAGTTTTTAATTAGAGGTTTAGAATTAGAAAATCTTTTACTAATTTGTCTTAGATATCAAAAAGTTAAAACTATATTTGTTCATTTGAATAAGAAGTTTAAAATGTTTTTTTTAATTCAAATACTTTATCAAAATGGTATTTCTTCATATTTCATTTAGTTGCATTTTTTTCGTTTACTCCATGCGAATTAGAATTTAAAGCTACTACATATTTCCACCTAAGTGCAAAACTTATAATGATTTTAGCAGATATAGATACTTGATGCAGTCACTAGTACCTTCTCTTTAGTTTATAACAGAAATGCATTTGAGAAGGGTTTTTGATTAGCTTGATGTGAGTGCACCCCCTGCTGGTAATAGGGGTTCGATATATGCTAACTGTTTCTTTTCTGTCTCCAGGCGATATGATCGTTACTAGGTGAAAGCTGCTGTGGCATGGAGAGCTGGAAAAGTTGTGTCGCGACTTGTTGGATGTTTGGTACTTTGTAGTATCCAGGAGACGATGCCATATGTATTGCTGTCTTTATTTGGTCAGTTTTTGATTCTGCAGTGTTAGGTGAAATTTGAGATTGACCTTCAAAATTACATGTGCGTTTTATGCACCAGCTAAATTTTATGACAATGCAAGGTTTTGTATTTTTGAATGCCGCACTTTCAGATTGCACCTTCATGACGGAAGTAAATAGCTCAATGGAAATTTAAATACAAGCATCGACCAAAAACAAACTCTCGGGAGTCCGCCGGTGTGTTTCTGGCTAAAACGTATTGATGGGTAAATTATACTTGATTGGCGAGTTACCTTGTGAGTTCCTGGAAATGCTTGTACTTGTTTACTATATGAACTTAGCACGCGACAAATTGAGATGAGAGTTTATATTGACTATGGTTGAGGTGTGCAGCCACGATATGCATCCTGGTTTGGTGCAAACACTAGTTGTGGACGAGTGTTTTTAAAGCTAAAATATACTAACACAAGTAATTGAATTCCGCGCTTATCTGAGGCTTCTACCCGTCTTTAAAGGGGCTTTTTTCCCTGAACGGGTCGTATTGGGTTAGCGGTTCCTTTCATTGGAGGACTGAACTTGGTTAATGTTTGTGTTATAAGTTCAACGTTGGTGTTTCAGTTTGGTAGTTGGGCCAGGTCTGAAGCTCAATGTGGATTTCATTTTCTATTGTAAATCACCAAGGGTAGCCGGCCTCATTATTTCCTTCTTTTGTGCTTTTGTTTTTAAGTTGTAATGTTGTAAGATAAATAAAAATAAAGAATAAGAATAAGGGAAGATAATGGGTGAACAGTATTTATGCTTCATTTGGAATTACCTACTATATAAATTGTGTTTCTCAATTTTTATTTTTTACCACCAACTACGTTACAATTCCAAACAAGTTTTGATTGGCTATGTGAATTTTTGGATCATGTAGCTTCACTTAAGTCCATCTCAGGCATATATTACACAATAAAAATAAAAATATTAGAAGTCTTATATATTTTCTACTGTTACATAAATTTTTATTAGGAACAAAAGACCCTTAGAAAGCATATTACCTATTGCATAAGTACTAATATAACTAGAATATATTTCTAGGTAATTATGATTACTTTATATAGAATTCTTCCTTTATCCCCTATTTTTGTGAAGTGTTGCATGGGTTACAAGAGTGTAGATCGTTCGAAAAAAACTTCATTCCGTGTAATTAAGTATACGTTGCTTTTTTAACACCTTCACTCGTTTACATGTATCAACTAATGCATCTGCTTGATATGACCAAACCATCTCAAGCGGCTTCTCATTATGTTCAAAAGTTGTTTGCCGTTTGAAAATATATTATGCGAGTAAAAATACAAGTACTTGAATGGGCGTACAGCAGTAGCTAATGAAGCTAAGCGTAAGATAAACGAACTGTAAACAACCGAGGAAATTAACTGATGATTTCTGCAGAATTGTAGGAGATTGGAGCCGCGTCGGACAACTTTTTTGAAATTTTTTCACTAAAGATTCTTTTGAAAAGTTGACAAATTGGTTGTTCTATGAAGGTTTTACGAGCGTTCCAGAGGCAATTTTTTACGGTTATTTTCTAGGCAAATGATAACAGAATGAAGAGAACGAGAGGTGGCTAATCCAACTGCACAAAATCCTTAATTTGCTAAAGGCACAAACTTCACTATGTTAAAAGACTGGAAAAAAGTAAGCCAGTACCCATAGAATGTCAAAGAATACTGCGGGGTTAAATAAAAAATCTCCTAATGAGTTCATCAAGGCTCAACCATTCCTTCATTGTCGTTCATTGTAACATGCCATCGCAACTGAAATACTGCAAGATCTCACGGAACAAAAGTAGCACCTTCCAAGTTTCTCTGCTTATTGTTTACTGGGTTTTACTCTGAACAATTCTAAGGTTTGATGACAAACAGAGGCTGCACAGAGATAAATATGGAATTAGGAAGGAAATGTTGTTAAGATAAACTGAAATACCACTGAATAGTTGGATTAGATTAGTCAAGAAACTGACCATATCAACACTGACAGGCTTGCCATCTTCAGCAAGGATATCAATGATGGTTCCTGATTGATCAGCCTGAAGGAGATAGTGAGAGCATAGCAGTCAAATTAAGCAGAGCAAGACAATTAAAAGAAACTAGAAATAAAATCATTTTAGATCCTACATTTGTTATGGTGGAACTAGAAAAGCACATTAAGAGGACAGTGTAAAAGTAGGAGATAAAATCAGGGTGTTCCCTTTCTGTAGGTTTTCTACTTTTTGGTTTTCTTCTTGTATATGGGCATCTTTTGTCCAAACTATTTTTAAAAATTATTACTTTATCAGAAAAAGGAAATCAGGGAGTTCCACGGACAACCCTAGATGTTGTCCTTGAGCGAAAACTACAAATAAATGCTTTAACAAAATGTTACCGCAAGGTTTTCTATGCCATCATTCTCTCATCAGCTCTCAAGTATCAGATATAAAGGAACGGGTGTTTTATGTCAATATGATGAAGATGGATAACACAGGTAAAATAGTGACAGGAGTCATAACTACCATTAATTTCCATAAAATGGCATCACATTGCCAAGAAAGGATTTTTGACAGTAAGGAAACATGAAATCTCTGCCGCTTGTTTAGAGTTTTTTTTTTTTTGATAGATATGCCAAGAGCATTAGCAGATAGTCATCAAAAGTGACTATTGATCTATACCCCTCTATATTTGCATATCAAAGGAAGGCACAATCCATATAGAAGCATTTTATTGAAACAGGTATAAGATTATCTGTAGAAGAATTTCCGCAGAAATAGAACTTCTGATTTTTTTTTCCCGATATTAAAGGGCAGCCCGGTGCACTAAGCTCCCGCTATGTGCGGGGTCCGCGGAAGGGCCGGACCACAAGGGTCTATTGTACGCAGCCTTACCCTGCAGCAAGAGGCTGTTTCCACAGCTTGAACCCGTGACCTCCTGGTCACATGGCAACAACTTTACCGGTTACTCCAAGGCTTTTTCCGTTATTAAAACTCCCAACATATTAGAGAAGGGAGAATGAGGGGCCTACAGAGTATATCGAATTAGGGATTTCCAGTGTAGTTACACCATAAGAAACACTGAATGGCCCTTCCCAGAACAGAGTCTGTCCAGGTATAATCTTTAAGTTATATTTTCCCCTCAAAATGAGGCAATGGTGAATTATTAAAGACCATGGATATTTCTCTTTATCTCTAAAATCCACCAGCCCCAACCATTCTTAGGAACACTAAGCCCCCTAAATTTCTCTTATATTGGCTTCCTTAATTGGTTGAGTAGCTAACTGCCAGAAACTTAGTTCACTTCCTAAAATAAGATTACCTTGGTGACCAGTAAAGAGATACACTTACACTCAACTTCTTGAAAAGAAGACCACACTTGATTACCTTGGTGACCTGTCAAGACATACACTTATACTCAACTTCGTGAAAAGAAGACCTCACTTGATCTCTAATCCCTCTAGCAGTACGACCTCTTGCCAATGACCAGAATTTGACAATTGATTCCTGTTTCCTCGATCAAATTCATCCTTCGATGTTACCAAGTCTAAAATGACTGGCAACTGGTATAACCCCAATCAAATGCTACTATCACAACCACAAGATGAATCACAAGCGCAGAAAGAGGTGTTTCCAAACATTCTGTACATTTCACAGCAAAATCCAAACTTGATCCACAAAGTTTAAGCATGCAGCATTTTCCAAGCAACCTACAAGGATAAAAATCTAAGTTTGTTGCACCATGCGATCAAACCCTCAGGATCCTTTCGGCATCTTCCTTACTACTTTTACTAATCCAATTATTCTAAGCAGAATTTCTTAGTTTGTTTGGTAGAGCAGAAACAGATATTTTGTCCAATATATATAGGAAATGGTCTGGGCTAGTAGAGTAGAAACATATAAATTTAGGGATACTTAAGATTGTCTCTCTTTTTTTTCTTGTAAGCTCTAGCAAAACCACTGGACATCATTTTGGAAAGGAAACGCAGATGGTACAATGGCAAATCAAAAGTTCTTAGTCTAAAACCAGCTTATGCAAACCTCCACTAATCCATACGGCAGCCTGATCAGCCTACAAGTTTAAGTTGCCAAGGAAATCCTACCAACCACCGCAGGAGCATGGGGTCACACAAGTGTTGCAGTTAGGATTCAGACCTGGGATCACCAGATATTTACTCTCATGCCTCAACCACTAGGCCATCCCCTTGGAGACCTCATCTCTTATTTGTTTATGCAGAAAGCAGGTTATACATTAGAAACCAATTGCAATCTCGATCTCAGAACTTTTTGAGTGTTATGATGCTAGTTTAATTCCACACAGGACTAAACAGCTGAGAAGTATGAGCTGTAAGATAAATATTCATTGGTGAATGAGTATATAATTTCTAATCATGCTTTCAATTTGACTGAATGCCTTTCTAATAGTTGTGCAGGTAAGAACCAAAAATTCTTCGGCATCATTTTACAAGCAGTAGCAGATATGTTACTCAAAAACAGTTAAAAGTCATGAAACAGAGTTCCTACATTAGTACAAGAGAGCAACAGCAAGCAAGGAAGTTATAGCAATAGGAAAAGAGAAAAGATTACCTCTATTTCATTCATCAATTTCATTGCTTCAATAATACAAAGAACTTGACCCTTCTGCACTTTGTCACCAACCTGTCGTAATGCACATCGTGCAAGCCAAAAGAATTAGAGAGAGAGAGAGAGAGAGAGAGAGAGAGAGAGAGAGAGAGAGATCATCAAACCAGCATCTTATTTGATACAGTGTTAACTGTATTTTTTCCTTTTCTTCTTTTTCTTTTCCTTTTTTTTTTGATTTTTGAGGTTTCCATATTTGAATTCATTACATAAAAGGCGGACATGCAGTACCTTCACAAATGGTGGTTCACCAGGTCCTGGACTTCGATATAATGTCCCTGCCATTGGGCATTTGAGTGGTGGAACAGATGAGTCAGATGGCTTTGCTGCAGCTGGAGAAGGTGCAGGGATTTGAACTGGAGGAGGAGCAGGTGCGGGAGGTGGGCTAGATTGTACAGATGGCACATGATATGATTGTAGAATTGGGATGTGTGCAGGGGCAGGAGGCGGTGGTTGTGGTAGTGCCTCCTTCTTACGAATTAAAATTTCACAATCAAGCTGTTTTAAATGTAGCTCCACAACATCCCTAGAATCAACTAGCCTGCACAAAGAACAGTCTGTCATGACTATTCATGAAAAGTCTCTGTAGAGAACTAAGAAACAAATGGGAGCACTTACTTGACAAGGCTTGAAACTTGGCTAATAAAGTTAGATATTGATTCTTCCGATACCGAAGTTGCTGATGAAGTCTCACATGGCGATTTCACCTCTTCCGACTGAGTAATTGGAGTGGCTGCATCATTTGAAGATCCACCAACAGCAACCTTGAAGGCAACAGATGGCTCCAAAAGGTTTTTCACAAATGACACAACATTTGAAAGAATTTCCTCCAATGAAAACCACTGAAAGAATCTTACCTCATTCAATTGGGCTCTTGCTACGGCTGAATGATTCCGACTAGTTTGCAACCCCTATAAAAAAAAAAAGATTATTGCCACAACAGTCTTCTTTATCTGGTACTAGTAAACAGTAATAATAAGTGTCATCTTTGGTAATTTGGCTCTTCTATTGGGAAAGTTATCTGTTATACAGAGTATTATTTGGCCACGGGGGCTGGTGGGCCAAATAACTCTTCCATATGACAAATTCTTAGCATATATTAATCTATCACCATTTTCCAGGAAAAAGAAAGAAGATGAAAAGAACTCACCAACAGATGCACCAAGTGCAGCAGAATCAACTGTAATGATCTAACTTCCAAGATAAACTCTTTACTTTTTAACAACTTTTAAAAGCAAATGCACTCAAAAAAGAAATTAAATTCTACCCAATGCTCTTAAGAGGTGTTTCCTCCACCAAATTAATGCCCTGGAAGTGCAGCTCTGAATGATTCTTTCAAGTTAAACAAATGAATTCCATCATTATTGAAGATACAAAATTGTCGATGAAATAATTGTGTCCGGATAGTTTAAAAAGATGGTATAATGCAGGTTTTGCTAACGATTTAATGTAATGCTGGACTTTGTGGAATCCTTACAGCTTTAGAGGATCCCTACCTCGTTTTGTTGATGTACTTTGTCTCAGCTTGGTACTGAGTTTATTTCAATAAAAAAAATTGGGTCCTGATGGTAACAGAAAACCTAACGAGAAAAGAAGATTTCAATGGGCTCAACTAAGCCCATTACTTCTGTCCATAAGTACATACGCAAAAAAAAAAATATGCTTTACACACACTGTGTGTATCACTCATTTTGACCCCATTGACTATAAATCTGAGATTCGGAACTGCTGCAACAAAAGTGTAGAACCAATAGTAGAAGTGTTGTTCATTAATTGTTTTGAAAATTTCTTAGGTTTTCTCAAAACATGAAGGAGTTTCAAAATAGTTTTTGTTGCTGTTTATTCTGCCAACTTCGTAGACCCAGGTCAAATCAGTAATAAAGGTTTCTAATACTCTTCTCTCATTAATATTAACAACGAAGAAGAAAAGAGAGTAACAGAAGAAATAAAAAGAGAAACATTGACACAAATTTACTAAAGACGAAACCTTTAATTTCCAATCAATTAGCTAGACCTCATTCATAGCATTTAACAAAACAAATAAGGTATCTTTTTTATTTACAGTTTCAATTTCAGCTTGTAGATTTCACTTCTTTTGACTTTTAAAGTTCATGGATGAAATTTGACAAGCAAACGAATACCCAAAAGAAATAAAACTATACTGATAATATAAATAAAACCACGGCGAATGCATCCTTCAGCAGTGAGCTCCACTCAAACTATACAACTACAGCTGAAAATCTTTTTATACCAACCCCAACTAGTTTGGAACTGAAGCGTAGTTTTATTGTATCATAAACCTACACTAACAGAGTCCCGACTAGCTTGTGATTGGGACATAATAGATGTTTTTTTTGTATATTTTACAACAGTATGTGTACATGATACTCTGCATACACTGACCTAAAATTGTGAATGTGGCTCCAACTAAAACAAAGTAGAGTTTAACTATATAAGTACATGCGGGGTGGAGCTAGTAGCCCGGCTACGAGTTTGGGAGAACCCAATAGCTTTTGCTCGAACAGTGCATTTGTATTAACAAATTCATTAAATATGTACAATTATTAAATTTAGAACCCAGTTATTAACACTTGAATCGTCATTCTAAAATCCAGAATCCATAAGATTGAAATTCTGGCTCCGCCTCTGATTACAACTGAAATTTTTTTTAAAATTTATACCAACCCAACTATAGACCCTTGTGGTCCGGCCTTTCCCGGACTCGCGCATAGCGGGAGCTTAGTGCACCGGGCTGCCCTTGTACCAACCCAACTAGTTTGGAACTGAAGGGTAGCTTTATTGTATACATTCATAAAAGAGTCCCGAATAGTTTGTGACTGAGGTGTCATACATGTTGTTCTTGCGTAGTAGTCTACATACTGACTTAAAATTGTGAATCCAGATCCAACTAAAACAAAATATAGTTGAACTAATATCAACCGACACTGTAACGAATTTTTAAACTATCATTGTTGCGCGATAACCTGCCTTATTTATTTACAGCGTCGGTTTATACAACTTATACTCAAATAAATAATAGTTCATGCATGACACTCCGCTATTTACCTGCATACATAAAATATACACAAATAAATTTTAAAGCGATAATACCTTACAGGAGAATTGGAGTTTGGGCGCTGTAGCAAACCGTAAGGATAATTTGGAACGTGAAGGATTGTAACGGCGATGATGGCAGAACGGTAATAAAGTTAAAGACTTCGGGGCATTTTTGGCCGGAAATACAGCCGGTGAAGCTGAGGCCGCCGTTTTCGGCGTCGCCGTTGTTCCGAACGACGTCGTCATTTGCTCGCCGATATTCAGAGAGAGAGAGAGGAAAACGGAGTGCGTCGATGAAACCAAAGAGAGAGTGTGGAGATAATGGCTAATGAATAAAACGACACAGTTTTGGAGTTTTAGAAGAGCCTAATCTAGACAAATCAGCATGTGGAGCCCTTTAGGAGGTAGAAGCAGTAAATCAAGATGACGTGGCAAAATGAAAGGATTTTTTTTCCTTTTTCTTTCAAGAAGTAATATTTAAATATTTGAGATCATATAAAAAATAAAAATATAAGGATACAAGTTGATTTCTTTCCTTCTTCCAATACAATAAATTCTGATACGAAAAATCAGCACGTTAGGGAACCATACTTCAAGAGAGGACTAAGTAGTTCAAAATCGAACCGAAACCGTTAATCGAACGTAATCGATGGCTAATTGGTTTATTGGTATCGGATTATCGGGGTAATGGATGATGAATGGATTGAGATTTTATAATTAACGACTTAATGGTTTGGGGACAGATTACTCAATTTTCTTATCGGGTAAACCGTTAACCCATTAAAAATTTTTATATTTATACTTTTACTCCTATGTATATAAAGTACTATTAAAACCCCTATGTATTTATACTTTGTTTGACCAAAACAAGCTTGATGTCAATTTCTATCAACCATAGGTACTTAAGAATGCATTACATATTAGATGGAAAAACTGTCAAGACTTGTATCGGTTGGACTTCTTCCCTCACAGAACAAACAGAATAGGAATTCAAAGGAAAGGTTATCACTGAGGGGGTTGAAGTATGATGATCCTTTCTCAGACAACTCTTTGTCATGCAACTTAGCAAGTGTGTACAGTCGGTGGCCATTATATGTTCTAATACCTTTTGTTAGATGAACAGGAGGATGATTGATAAGTTTTATAGAATTGATCGGTGATCGTAATGTAGTGCATTGAACTAGAAGTACTTGACTGGATTGTCTGGTTTTATGTCCTTTTTTAAAGTCTACTTTTCTGGAAGAACAGATGTCCTTTTTTGTCTTGTGAAGAACGAATGTTTGATTGATTACTGAACTTGGTTAATACGTGTATGAGTAGACTTGAATATTCTTCAATTCAAAAATACCGTTTGGTTAGATCTTAGATGGTATTAAAAATTTGGTATTGATTTGAAACTATTTGGTATTTGATTGAATGATTATTCAAAAATTTACTATTTGATTTAGCTGATAAGCCGCCCGATAATTATTAATCTGATACAAATCCGCCCGTTGTCTTATTGGATGGCTAGCGGATTACTACATTTATAATCCGATAACCGTTAAGCCGAACCGTTAAGCGTAATTATCCGCCCGATCCAGCACCCCTAGGACCAATAGAAAAGTTCAGGGAGATTATTGTTTGGGAGCAAACTAGAGAGAGAGAGTGTGGTTTAGAACAATATCGTGCTTTAAAATAATTTTTCCTCGTGCTGAGGGGGCGTAACTAGTAAAGTTGTTGTCATGTGACCAGGAGAACACGAGTTCGAGCCGTGGAAATAACATTTTGTAGAAATGCAGAGTAAGACTACATACAATAGACCCTTGTGGTCCGGTCCTTCCTCGTACCTCGTGCATAGCGGGAGCTTAGTGCATCACTAAGATGTTTTTGCCTCTTATATTTCTTTTCCGCATAACTAATATCCACATGTGTTATACCATAATCTATGTATTATTTTATGTATAACAGAATGTGAAATGAAAATGTGGGTATTTAGCTTTCTTGACTACTATTCACCAAGGAAAAATAAAACATTGCCGAGTGAAATTTAAAGACAATATTTATTGCTGCATACAAAATACATCACTTCCGTCTTCTCTAATGAAAAATTCATCATCCACGGCTATACACTGAATTTAGTTAGAACTAATTATGACATTGATATCGTTATAAACAAATAAGCAGAAGAAATAATAGAAAAGAATACTATTAACTTGACCGCACATCCTCAATTGCCGCTATTAAATTATCAAGTTTTGCTCCAGTGACTTCTTTAACGACCTTATTATTCTTCAGAATCTTGAACGTTGGAACCACCTTTATGCCAAGTTCCTTGGCTAGTGGCTGCCAAAAATTGTCACATTAATCAATTTTGTGTGTATGTGTGTATTGTTTCATTAGAAGGGAATGGTGGGTTTAACGAATACATACCCTATTATCCTGGTTGCAATCCAGCTTCAGAAAGACCACGTCATTATAATTCTTCGACAGCTCTTGAAACTTTGGAGCAATCACTTTGCAAGGACCACACCTGCAGGTGGATTGAAATCAGAAATCGAGAGATAGAAAACAAAGAAGAAATGGAGAAGACCCTGTAAAATGCTGTTTCTCAGAGGCATAAAGTTATCAATTAAATTGATGATAAAGATGAGGTGCAAAAAACAACTAGTTCAAATTTCAAATAAACATTCAATCAAGTAGCTGCATATGAGACAGGCGACAGTGTATGGATATGACAGGAGGGCATGATTAACCCCCTTAATACTTGGACCATTCTTCAAATCCTACATCTTAAAGCATACAAAGCCTCTCCAATCACTTAGACTATTGGTAACATTCTAGACTGCAACATTTGCTCTGTTTGTAGTAAATTCAACATACATTGTCACTTTGATCAAAACTTGTGTTACTCACTGTTGAACAGTGTTATCAAAGGCGAAAAACGCAAAAAAGCTCTAAGGCCCGTTGGGGCTTTAAGCGCAAATAAAGCGTGGGCTTTAATGAAAAAAGGCGCATGTGGAGAAAAAGTAAAAATATGTATATGTAGTTTAAGACCAATAATTAAAAGCATGAATAAGAAATATATGGACAAGAAAATTACGATAAAGTAAAATATCAATGGTTTAGTGTTGCCTTTTCAGGATTACATTCATTGGCAAGGAAAAGTATGCCTTAGAACTTTGATGCGACACCGAAACGCCCGTAAGCGAGGCGAAGCGCTCAACATGTTTTGAACCTCGCTTCAGGGCTTAAGTGCGCCTTTGGCAAAATAGACCACATGCCTGAAAGCATGGGTCTTGATACCCATGAGGCGATAATTCGTAGCACAAAGGTGAGTCAGAACGTATGCCCCTGTCTACTTTTTTGGATGAATACACAAGATATCCTTTCATGATGATCAATAGTGAAATATTTTGCAAATTTGGCGTTTTCTCTCCCTATATTTGTATTTGGTTGGCACAGGGGGTGGAGGGTGTAGCTTCATTTGCAAGGTGTAGGGCTATGGATGTGAGCAATTTCAGTTGTACCAACTACCCACCCAGGTAGAATCTGTCCCATCTTGGAAACAATTTTGGTGACAGCAGAAACTTACAGAACAGCCGGTTAACATTCGTCCTGTGACCGGCAAATACGATTTTCAAATACATCCCATAAGGTCAAGAGAAGCAGTGTAAAGTGAAATTGCTTTAGCCAAGAAACAAATAGTCTTTGACAGTAAAGAGTGAAAGGGAAGCAAAGTGCCATTTGACCATTTGTACTGCTCTTAGGCACATTTTCCACTTAGGTCATAATCGTTCTGAACTATCCATCAACATAGATATCAACGGTCACTTCACTTAAGGAGAGAACAATTGAAGAACACTACCTAGGCTAAGCCAATAATGGGATTGTGAAGATAACTTTCTCTCCAAAATTGTCCAATAACAGGGTTCATCTCTTAAACAAGATTTATAAGAATCTCCCTTTTAGAAGAAAGGTTATATATATGTCAATTCTCTAGTGGTGGCGGAGCCAACCAAGATGTATGTCTGACCCGACCCATTTGACTCTCTAAGCGTAGTTATTTAGGCTGTATTATGAGATCGAATTCCTCAGGAACACATGAAACAAAGATATGGAACGGGTAAAAAGAAATGGAAAAGAGATGTTTCTATTTCATCCAAATAAGAAGCTTTTTTTTACATCCATGTGCTACAACTAGTACTAATTTGAAATATGAAACAATATCAGCTTAATTAGTTCTCCTATTCCACGATCTCCCAAATTACAGTAGTAAAGCAAACTTCTCATCAATCCCTTATACTTTCACTGCCTCACAGAGGTGGTTTCTTCCCCCGAAGGCATATGAAAATAAATTGCCTATCATTTTTATCTCTACTGTACTTTCGAACCATGTTCAACATTGGTCTTCTTCTAGCTTCATTGACCGGGTACGCCACACACTTGGGTGCTACGTATCCCAGTCTTAATAATTATAGATTTAAGTTATATGCACTGACAGTGTAATGATTATGTCATCAGTGTAAATGCTAGTATTAAAAAAGTTATATACAATTACCTGAAGAAATTCTTTACACTGCTAGCGCACAAAACTTAAACCCTATTATTACTACCTTAACCGTCTAATTACCCCAATCCTCCTCCTTATCTTTATCTTGAGACAAACTATACTTTATGAATCTCACATAGGCAGAATTATCAGGATTACGCTAATATTGAGCAAAAAAAAGGAAAAACTTAATCATAATTAAGCATGAACTTTATCAATCTACAAGGAAAAGGAAGTATATGTAATATTACCACTGAGTGTACATGTCAACTACGACAGTTTTATCACCGGCAGCTTCAACAATAGGCCAAAAGGTATCTTTACAAACTTCCGTCACCTGCCCTACCGTCACAGTCGTAGTAGCAGTAGCATCAGAGCTACACTTCACCTTCAAACTCAGCCCCCTGTTGGTAAAAACCCTAGGTGAGAAGCCATAATCTCCTGCAACGCAGACCACTGATTGCTTGCTGGACTTCCATGCAGAAGATGAAGGCACCGTTGAAGGCTTCAAGGATACGCCGTTTACTTGTACTTGCAACGCCATTCGCTGTAACTGTTTGTGTGTATAGCTATGTGTATATGTGTACGTATAGGTAGAGAGAGAAAGTTAAAAGAAAGTGAGAGAGTGAGCGCAGTGTGTGTGTGTGAGAAATGGCGGAGGATTTGAAGGTAGAGGAGGAGAACAGGGATCATTTAATTTGATATGTGAAATGACTATATTATCCCTTGACATATTCTTTTCTTTTTTTCTCCAGCTCTAGAGATATTCCGTTCAGGGTTGTTTTGGTAGTTTTGGGTT